TAAACCAAAAACATAACTTCAAGTAGAAAACGGAAGTACTACYGCCGAAAATTTTGTGTCGATTAAATTATAGCTTACGCAAGCAATTAAAWACAATTGCATTTTTTACAAAACAAAAAACTCAAACCGCGAACCCCTACAACAATAACACAATAGCAACGCGAAATCCCAAYGAAAAACCACAAAAATCTTTTCTGATAAAAAACAGTCAAATTACTAGCAATTACGCTTGAAGGAATTCACACAACAAATGTAAGCAAAACCCGAAAAATAAACCATTTTTCAAGGATGTTGGCAAGGATAGGCATAAACACACATCTATACACACACTTACGAACCTCAAATAGAAGGTTAGTATTAGAAAAATGATGGCTAGACTTCAAAAGGAGCAAAAGTGCGCGTTGCTTACAAAAAAGGAGACTAGAAATTGGAAGAAACGCAACGGCATCAATGGAATCTGAAAATGTTACGTCAGAATAGCAAAAATTGTAGAAATTAATAGTGTTTTAATAATTGCCAGCGAAAAACTGAAATAAGCAGAATGAATACCTGACTGAAATCAGACGCWTCAGATAATATTGCTTCAAAACAGAATTTCGAACCGAAAATTARCWAAAAWWTTTTTTAATTTTTTATTATTATWATAAACCTWTTTCCCAGTAAAATCGGACGGCTAAGCKTAAAATACAGAAATGTTGTTCGTTTTTAGAACCCAACTAGTGGTTTCGATCCAAAATTGAACAGGATATCTTCCGCCATTTGTGAACTAGTTTAAGACTAGTGCACTCGTATGACATTGCTTCAGAAGTTTTTCCTATTTCTTATATGGAAGATGGCAGGATTAGTGTAGTTTGCTGTTCTTGAGTTAGAAGGTATTCTAGTTCGTAACTAGTTTGTTTTGCTATGGGGAGCGATTTGRCGAAAATACATCTTGTAGATACGTTAGAGACCTCCATCGACTTACTTACTAGTACTGGATCCAAATCCAAATGGCGGCAAAAGGTATTAGGTTCTAACATAGCATCAATCTTAAATATAACATATGTAACTAAACATTTATTAATACCGTGAAAACTTTTCCCTCTATTAAGGTGAATACGAGAACTCCTTCAATCAATATGGGTAGAACAACAAAATGCCCCTGGCAAAGGCTTAATCGGAGACAGGACCCTCACGCTTTATTTGTGAGAGAAGCTTCCAGGTTACACTAAAAGAGAGTGGCTGACCCAGGGCATGCGACTCGCCAGCGGTGCTTACGACATCTATACGGAGGAATCAAAAATAGCTAATGGAGTTTGAGCCGGAATCTATTGCTAGGAGCTGGACATCAGGGGACTCTGCAAGCTTTCGGAATACTAAAGTATCTCCAGGCGGTTGTCTTTGCACTTAGAATGAAAAGTGTCTTTGCACTTAGTTGAAAGTCAGGTAGGAATTAGAGCAACAATCTCAATCCGCTTTACGTTAGAAAATGTCTTAAAAGCAGGRAGGCAGTAGATAAAGCAGCTGCAGGAAAGCGGCTGCATATGTKGGGTTTCAGGCCAAAATAGAAAACGAAAAGCTGATGAGATTGTGAAGTATCATCCGTCTGGCCACCGAACTAATTCAGAAAATACGGAAGTCATAAAAACATTAACCATGAAATTTCCAATAGGRCTGACAGACAGATTAGCTCGAAATGGAATGCCTTACGAATATGCAGGATCGCCGCGATCATGTGCAAGAGCTCCRAATAAAAACGTGCATGCATTTTGGTCCCACGATCTCGRAAGAACTGCAGGAAGGTTGTTRGCCTAATGACAGGTCACAAGACATCACATGCAAGGAAGATGGCCAAAAGACGACGAGACATGCAGAAAGTGCAAAGWAGTAGACATAAGAGAAACTCTGGAGCACCTCCTATGCTATTTTCCAACATTATCTCGTCATAAGTATCTAGTAGCTTCGCAGTTTAAGGTACTAGGCAAAGCATCAAATCAAGATATCAAGATAGATATCACGGCGCTCTTAAAGTTCGCAAAGAACGTATACGTCCTTACTTTACCTCAAATTAAACAAAACCTTCATCTGGCATTACTAAGGACCAGAATGTCTATGTATCACGTGACCGTCGCCAGTATTACTCTAGGGATGTTTGCTATTCAGGAAAAGTTTTTACGACTACGAGGTAAACTTACTTCTTAAAGCCTAATTTTTCAATTCAAACTCAAAATATTATGCTATGTAAATACACTGAGACCATCAGAGGTTCTAGAAATCTTGCGCGAAACTTCAAACTTCAAAATTAACTCAACATCATTGTAATTCATACTGAAGACGACCCTCACCACAAAACCAGACGTGCATCCGCTCAATCATAGTGGCGGTGCCCAAATTTCGACACTAACAAGCAGTGACAAATTGATGGTGTTAAAGTTCATTAAACGATTCAGTCTAAATGTCAGACGATGCCTTAATCTCTTTGTCATGCGTCCCCACAAAATGCTGAAAAAACCAGTAAGATCTAAAAAACCAACACAAAAAAAGGTGTTGTATAGACAACCAATTAAGCTTATAACAAATTTCTTTTCAGCTCATGGCTTAACCACAAAAAAGCGCAGCCCCAAGTCACACACGCCGCAATAAGATGCTGTTGTGGTGACGTTTTGTCGGCTCAGCTCAGTTCAACTCGGCTCATCTTACACTCAGTGGCCATTTGGGCTGCTGTACGTTGATCTTCACTTTGTAGCTGCAATTTTTTTTTTTATATAAAAACGTTTTTGTCCTTGTTTTGTATTGGCGAATGATACAGAAAACTGCATAAAATTGACAAAGACATGCGATTTGACGAAGATTGTGCGGTTTTCGRCTCCTTTAACCCTCCACGCTTGCGTTGCGTTGGCATTTCTCTCACCGCCCTTTTCAGATCAGTTCAATACGCATATCGATGCGTACCATTCAATTGCGTTCGTTCGGCTACTGCGTGCAGCTTCACCGCTCATTCATTGTTCATTATTGATGCCTTTAAGAGTGCATCCTCTACCCCACTTGGCACCGTACTCGCCACTACTTTGGCCGCTTCTKGCTTTCGCAGCCCCAGCACTGCTTTGGCGGCTGCATGCAGGTGGCATTTCGACGCGATTTTGCCGACTTTCTTACGTTAGCAACATGTCGCAATCTGTGCCAAAGCCTGGACCCAAACGGTCGGTTGTATCGTTGGCCGTGATTGTGCGAATCGGCGATTTTCGGGTAGCCAAGTCGACAATTTGTATAATTGACAAATTGACTGGTCACTTTGTCTGCAGCCTGAGAAAACACAGTTTCGATGCGATCGATTGCACGTGGGAGCCCAGTCAGGCAAACAAACGAAGCCGCTAACAAGGTGAGAGAAACGGAAGCTTCTTTCATGTGATAATTTCGCAGCTTTTCATGTTTTACAAATGATTATGGGCACAAGTGGTAGCGTGTATTTATACAAATATACAAATATATATATACATGTACATATTTATTCATAATAAGGATTAAAAAGGGGTTAAACGAGCCGCTCCAATGCATATTCCACTATTAATCATTAATTTTAGAGCTTTCAACTGTTTTTTAGATAAAACCAAAATTCACCTGCAGATAGTCTCATATTCAAATGCTTATATTTAAGATACATTTCAATAAGTCTGACTCGACACATAATCAGTGACCAATGTGGCCAAGTGAACGAGTTGAGAAGTTTAGAAAAGGGATTTATAATTCGGAGACGGCTTGGAGTTGTGGTATTTATCAAAATACAACTAAAAAGATGAAATATTATTGGTAAATAAAAATATATCTTAACTTCCAACCGAAAACAATATTATTCAGAAAATGTGGATGTTGTTGCTTTCGAAGTGAAACAAGTTCCCCAAATATTATGTGGAATACTAACGATTTAATTTTCCTCGTTTGGAGCAGAAACTGAATCCGACTTTGTTATATTGGCTAACTGTTGTGGGAATGGCTTCGGACGGGATATTATTCTATGATAATTGATTGATCGAACCGCGACCATAGGTCTATTGTACCCTCTACTAAATATATAATATTGATAAAATCTAATATGGTGCTGAATGCTAGCGAAGCAATGTGATTCCTATTTGGAAAAATGGATCCAAGAGCCTTTAACCTGCGTCTGCAGACTGCTGTGCAGTCAATTAGCAGGCGTTCTAGTGATTYAGGCTCCCTTTCGCAKTACCGACAATTTACRCAAGAAGCTAGGCCCATGTTGTGTAAGTGCTTCTTCAGMTTGCAGCGGCCMGTGTAAAATGCGACCTGTAATCTGAGTTTATCCATAGGAAGGTTAATTGTATATGTAAACTTGCTGAGTTTATAACCCCCCATTAGCAACTTGGCATACCGCATGCCATGTATTTGTTCCCATACCTCTTCATCTTCCTTGTGGAGCAGCGCCTTTATGTTATCAGGACCCGCCCCAGTGAAAGGTTCATGTTCAACCATGTTAATGGATCCTGCGGAGCGGACGAGCTCATCAGCTTTGCGCCCGAGCACTCAGATGAGGTGCACTTGGTTAGGAGGTGCACAACGGTAGCGATTTGATCTCATAGGGGAGATTGATTAAAGTGCCGCTTGAGTATCGCTAAGTATGATTATACGTTCGTTGCTTTCTGAACCATCGCTGAATTTGAACTTTTAGCGTTCTGCAAACAATWAAGGTTTAAGAGTTCAAATAGGGATTCGAAAAATCAACTATTTAAGAACTTTGCAACTCTTGGAGTTTCAAAGGGAAGAATCGTCTAACTTTTTTTGTGAACTTGCTCCAAATATGCGATGAAGTAAATAAAAGTCAATCCCTTAATTTATTAATTATTTTATTTTTTGTTTAGCTAAACTTCGGCTTCATTTTGTCTTCCGGTTTCTTATGTACAATATTTGGCTTACTTATTTTTAAATTTTACTTTTATCAAACCTAACTAAGTCTAAATAAATATACAGCAACACACACACGCTTAGAACTAAGGAAACTTCAACTAAATATTTACATTTGTATTGTCTAATTCAGTCATTTGTAGCTCACAACAACAACGAAGAAATACTGCTACGGCCACGCYTCGAACCAGCACTTTCMTTTCRGCTTAGCGCAACAAATCGCCCAATGCCGCAATATAAGTTTGGGCCATCTGGAGTGTCTCATGCTTGGAAAGCTGTCGATCATTACCCAGACACGGCAGATATTGGCGCAGTCGATCGAAGGCCTGATTCAGATTTTGCATGCGGCGACGTTCACGCGCATTGGCCGCCAAACGACGCTTACGCTTGACCACCGGCGATATTTGCTTGCCACGACGCTTCTTAGCGCCGGGTTGTGTGGACGCTGTGCCATCATCCTTAGTTTGCATGCCAGCCGATTGATCAGCTAGTTCGAAGGAACCATCGGCGGGCTCGAAATCGTCATCGCCGCCAAAAAGCAACATATGATCGTCCATATCTTCATCGTCGACGCTGTCACCATCGAATAAAGCAGCAGCTTGRTCAAAGTCGAAAYTTTGAAAGTCGTGTGTGTAGGGCGTATTGGTAACTACGTGCGGATTGGCGCTAATCGCGGCGGCGGCATTAGTCGCAATGGAAACGATGGCATCACTGGTGRTTGGTGGCACTGAAGGTGAAGCGGTTGGCGCTGGTGCGGCTTTAGGTGTGCGCCGCGTGTAAGAACGCTTCGTTTTTGTGGTGGCAGCGCTGTTTTGCGCCTTGGACGCATTGGTTTTTGTGCTATTTGTCGCTGTTGTGATCTCAGGCAAACCAGCAGTTAATTGTGTAGTCGGCGCTGGTGGCGACTCCAAATGTAAACCGAATTGTGTGACAGTCGCGTGCAGCGGATGGGCGCCGCTATGCGCACCATTAGCGTAAATACTATTAAGATCCACATATTCTGGGCTTTCGGAGCGATGACTCGCCGGTGATGAAGTAATCCAGCCGTCGGAGGATGCCTGCTCGAAAGTGATGAAACCGTTGGTGGTCAAGAAATTGTTGTTGGGCGCACAATTGTACTGTTGCTGTTGCTGCTCCAGGAGATGATGATGATGCTGATTGGCGCTCACGAGCGGTGGCGGATTATATGCCGCCATCGGATTAAAAAACATCTCGTTCGCATTCGATTTGAATGCCTGCAAATCCTCGGAGGTTTTATAATAGTAACGATATATTTCACTGGACGACATGTTGTATTATACAGTTAACTATAGTGAGTAATTGTCTACACGTTCACGTCCTGYATGCGTATGCCTTCGACAGTCTCCTGGTGGTGGTATTTATACCGACTTCCTTGCCATGCAAGCAATTCACCACAGTTCGGTCGSCAGGTAGACGACAGGTAAATCTTATTGAGTAMGCTCTCTCATATTCGGTGGTGGCACACAGCCGGTCGCTTTAACGTTGTTGCAACGTTCTTCGTGTCTCCGCTGTAGTTGTTAGTGTACTCCAATATCTTGTGTAGATGTGAATGTGTGTTGATGTGTTTGCTGAGACCTTTGTGGAGCCTTTTTATTGGGCTGCGTTTATAAGGTTTCGAGTGTGTCAGCTGTTGCTGGATTCCATGTCCATAATGTGTGTATATGTATTGGAATTTGAAAATACACCAACCACTACGTACAATTTATAGTAACAACACTTAATGTGSCAACAAAACAACTTAAGCGAAAATCAACAGCACGTGCTCTCACATAACTTCCCACGGCCAATGAAGCGCTGCACTGCGCTCTGACGYTGTGGTGGAAAAGATTCGGATTTGTGCGCTTTGCTGATTGGTCTGTGCGCTGAAGACCTACATATAATATATATACTAGGTATATTGTATGTAAGTAAATATATGTATAGTATGTTTCTGAGTTTTTCTACTGTACTCAAATACACATATTGTCACACAAATATGAATTTTTTGGAATAAAAAAAATATTAAAGCATATGTTCTTGTTTGGGATAATAGGTAAGRCAAGAAAAAACCTTGTACAAAACAACATAAAAGTATATGTATGTGTGTTATAAAAACTATTTTCATTCAGTTATAAACTTAGAATTATAACTCTCCTGGTTTTAATATGAAATTTTGCAAATCGCCTACATAAGTATGTGCTCATACATTATATAAGAATATAATATCATGTTTCAAATGATCTGAATCGAAAATGGTTATTTGAGTTTCTCTATAGCTTCTCATTGTATTTCATGAATCCATGTCGTTTACTACGTTTTGAAACCCTTCTATGCCATAATATTATGGCTCATAACACAAAGAGAAGGYGATGCTCGCCGAAGTATTCAACAAWCATGAATATACTTAAAATCAGCATTCAAAAACTTATAGATTATATGTAAGTAAAAAGTATATATGTAAACGGTGATCCGTCACGAGCTGAGCTGATTTASCTATGTCCCTACGTCCATCTATTTGCAGTAAGAGTAAGTATKTGTTRGTRGTTTTCCACCTGTTTCATTTATCGTCTGYTTCCGCRTCGTAAATCAGTAATATCGCCTTTTATGACATCCTAATATCATAGTTTCACAGACATTMACGCGACGCTGTTATTCGATTGTTGTGATTTTAKAACGAATCGCGCTTTCACTTTTCTTAAAGCCAAATGATCTTTCAAAATGGTTTCCACTCATCTTTCCGATGTTCCAACGATGCCTGTAAGATCTCTGACTGTTAATTGTAAATAAAAAATTACGGACGAATGAACGAATGAGAGGCTATCTGTTGGTGATTTTCCAAAGCAACTGCTCAAACTTGAAGAAGGAATTTTTACCACTCATAATTGGAGCAAGTAATTGTAATATTCTTGACATCGAGAATTTGCACGAAAAGTAATGTCTTTGGTTGCTTTCTAGGACAATAGGTAAYCCTATGACCCCCAGGAATGATAGTGTCAACAAAATAAATGAACTAATTTTTCAAAAAGTTCCCGGAGAAGTAAAAAAATACAAATCGTTAGATACCAAGACTAATATCGRAGACGCAGTCCATTATGAACATGAATTGGCTGTAAAAATTAGAGTACAAATTATGATTTTGAGAAATTTAAGCCCTCAAAGCATCTGCAACAGAACGAGGATGCTTTTTAAGGTACTGAAAGACAATTTAATTCTAGCAACCATTAACATGGGACCAGCAGCTGATCAACTAGCTCATATACCGAGGATTCCGATRATCTCAAGTGATCTGCCAATCCCATTTAAACGGCTTCAATTTACATTTAAAACATCTTTCGCTCTACCATAAACAAGTCCCAAGGCTAAACTTTCGAATTGCAAGGAGCGTTCCAAAGTAAACAGTAACCTAGCGCCTCCTGGTGGCGCCATCTATATGTCGGCTGGTGCCTTAGAATCTGTTCTCTCTATCGATTGTCCAGTGAGCATTTCATGACATTTCATCGATTGGAAGTGAAGTTATYGCGTTTTAAGTGTCAGTATGTTTTTGCGAAAATGAGCTTCGAAAAAAGAGCCAACWTYAAATTTTGTTTTAAAATTGGTAAAACTTTTCCCAACTTTTTCTATTGATCAAACAAGTTTATGGCGATGATTGTCTATCCCGTAGCAAAGTGCACGAGTGATTTCAACGTTTTCAAAGTGGTCGTGAGGACATATATGACGATCAGCATGTGGGCCAATTAAAATTCGTGATCTCCGGAAATTCCATCGAAACCGTGCGCGAATAATTCATCAAAAATCAACCGAAATCATCATTGAAGTTCATGGAAATAGAATTGAACATCTGCAAAACATCGATTTAACGCATTTTGACCAAACATTTGGGCTTACGAACGATGTGTGCACGGTTTGTTCCGCACAAATTGACTGACGACCAAAAATTACTTAGAATCCAACATTCGAAATACCATTTTTTGACCAAAAATCACCATTTATCCATCAACCACTTCCCGTGTTCACCTGATATGGCAACGTGCGACTTCTTCCTTTTCGGAAAAATGCATTTGCCCATGAAAGGAAAGCATTATGTAGAGGACACTCAAAAGGCTTGCACCGGTATACTGGCAGCCATACCGGCCAATGAGCTAAAACAGCGTGCAAAAAGCTGCATTGAAGCAGAAGGGGACTATTTTGAAGAAAATAAATTGAGTTTGCCGAAAAAACATTTGTTCTGTTTTTTGTTTTTAAGTCCTGTTTACTTTGGAACGCACCTTCTAATAGGGATTGACCTACGAAATGTATGTTGGTCTATCGCGGATCGGAGGTTTTGAAAATCAATTTTATTGCTGCCAAAAAATAAATTAACATCATCATCGTTTACAGGGAAGGTGTAACTCAAYAAAWTATTTTTCAGGAGCAGAGAAAGTAAAATATAAAGAAAAGGCCTTTTTAMAAAACYTAAAAATAATAATAATRTAAAAAAATATACTTTCTTGTTCGAATTKCCTTCATTTAACTAATTTTTAATGACCCCACACAAAAACGAGAAAGTTTGTATGGGCGAGTGTGTACAAAATTTTAATTTTTAAAATGATTTTTTAATACCCGYGTGAAGCTGGATCGGGCTGCTAGTATATTTATATGCAACAAAAAAGAAAAAGTAACAGGACTCAATGAAACATAATAATGACAAATGAGGAAAGGACCCAATATAACCAGTCATCGAAGGGTTAGCAACTCAACCACTTGGAACCATAAGAAAAACTAACAACAATCTTAAAATCCGAAGCAGAATTTGTCTCTGCATTCAGTTGAAATGTAAAGTTTTCTCTGATAAATAATATTATATATATCACAGAAGAAACCCGGAAAATCTCATTGAGTGTTCAAGAGAAGGATGCCAAGATAGCTAACTACTGGTCCTACCATTAGATGACTTTGATGACAAACAGGTATTGAAATAACTGCCACAACAGTAATAACAACTAAGCAACAGCTTAGTCTAAACGAAGGCCTAAATTATCTTTATAATAATCCATTGACTGTAAAAAAACTTAGAAATCGAACACCAAAAATGTTAGAAAGCCTAAACCAAAGATCAGGGTAGCTTTCTAGGCAAATTTGTACTACTCATTTTGAGTTATTAGCATATTTGTTTTGCATATTTGTTACTAAGGAAAAAGAAGTTCCTGTTTCTGGCTTTGTGAGTAGAAAAGAACTCAAAAACTGGAGAATAGTTCACGTACATACAGACCAATGGGGATAGCTAAATCGACTCAGCTCGTCAAGCGGATTTTCGAGGTTTCCTTCTGTCTTTTACAAACTACGTGATAAAGATATATAAAAATATAGTACAGTACTTCCAAAATTGTTCAATTCTAACAACATAGATTTAGWTTATCATCAGCAAATGTATCGAACAATCAATTGAACACGCCTACTTAATAAAAATTCGAGCTAACTAAGACCACCGACATTGACTCTGAACATATTAGTCGTATATCACAGTGCTTCGTTTTTACAAAGTCATCGCTTTCGCTARTTACTAAATTAAATAAAGAAAAATTATGTTGATTCACGCGYCGGCGCAGCCTTCTCACACAATTTAATTAAACGAAACGGCCAGCCCCAGTTGAAAAAGATACCAACACAAACAGCGAAACGATAAAATATAATTCGAAATACTAAATTCTTTGCTAAAACGCCAAATAAAACGGCCACATTTAATTCTTAACGGTAAGTAGGTGGCGCCTTTATTAGTTACGCCGGCGCAGCAGCCACACAACCACACGAATTTGGTAGAGACAGGAGGTTGCACGGCAAGATGAGCACGGCACACGTGCGGCAACGTTCAAACGCCTTGCCACAAGCAACCTTTACAACAACGACAAGAGTAGTCGAATATTTCCCAAAGTCAAATTTTGGCAAGTTGTAAACAAGATGCGTGCATAGCGATACCCGACAATGAGCGTATCGAATTTGGTAGTGCCCACGAGCGATGCATCCCTGTATGATTGTGTGTGTGCGTTCGCTTAGTTAGGTCAAGTAGTTAATGATGTAGTTGTTGTGGAAATAGCAAATTTTGCGGCAACGAACAAAGCCAATGCCAACGAGCAATAATGCCGATAAGCAATCATAAATAGATACCACACAGTATATAGATATTTATATACATATACTCGTGCATACATCTACCACATATAGTACATATGTACATGCCACGAGTGATAAGCCGATCCTCACAGCGCCAAGTGCTGACAAATTTGCGCTCATCCCTGTCCTTGCCGCTTGTGAATGGGCACGCGCTACCTTTTGTGTATGATGAGGCGC